TCATCCTTCAAACGGCAGCTTCCGCTTCAGTTGATCAGAAAGATCGTCCTGACTTGTCTCATCAAAGCTGTTGTTGTTGTGTGCCGTGGAGTCGGTTCCGACTCATAGGGACCCTGTACAGGGTTTCCGAGGCTGTAATTCTTTACGGGAGCAGAAAGCCTCATCTTTCTCCCGCCAAGCAGCTGGTAGTTTTGAACTGCTGACCCTGCGGTTTGCAGCCCGATTCGTAACCACTACGCTGTTACTCCCCATCAATGTTGTCAAGAGCCTTTGTAAATAGGCAAGGCGGTGGGATCTGGCCTCCTCAAAGGTCATCATCGGACCAGCCGTAGGTTGGTTTCTATGAGGTGGATGGAGGTCAACAATGCCTCCTGTTTCTAACCTGTTTCCATTTCGGACACCTGCCACCTCCCCCAGCACTCTCTGCGTCTCTGCTGGATTTGATCGTTTGTCACAGTATCCACGCAGGAATCCCAGGCAATGATCATGATTACAGGGTTTATTAGCTAACAGGTTAGCCATTTAGGATCCAGAATGGCTCAGGGAACAAGAGCTTCTTGGCCACGCCAATAGGCAGGCCTCCTGGGAACAAGTCAGCTTCTTGGCCACGCCCATAGGTAGGCCTCCTGGGAACAAGCCAGCTTCTTGGCCACGCCCATTGGCAGGCCTTCCTGGCTCTACTCTCAGCCTGCCTCTTGGTTTCCAGTCTACCTGGAATTATCAGTGCATGTTGATTGCATGTTTGATCAATTTCAGACTGAAGAAGTTGGTAGAATTCAATTTCATTACCACAGGCTTTAGTACTTGGTGTGTAAATTTGAATTAATAGTGGTATTAACTGGTATTCCTTCTTGTTTTTGTTAAGTGCTGTCGAGTCAGTTCCGACTCATAGCCACCCTGTACAGGATTTCCACGGAGCGGCTGGTGGATCTGAACTGCAGACCTTGGGGCTCAAACTGACCTTGCGGTCAAGTACATGTATGGATATTAGCCTATTGGTCAGGACTGTACTTAAAGAACTTGAAATGTTCTTTCAGACATTGAATGCAATACCATTCCTCTTGAATCTGGCATTCCTGGCTTAGTAAACCATATGATTGTCTGATTCCAAAGGGCCAGCATCCATCCGTTTCAGCTTACTAATGCCTAGGATATTGATCTTTATGTGTTCCGCTTCATTTCTGACAGCTTCCCATTTTCCTAGATTCATACTTCATACATTCCATGTTCTGATTATTAATGGATGTTTGTAACTGTTTCCGCTCACTTTGAGTAGATGGAGGTCCCAAAGCCTTCAGTCCATTCACAGCATCATGGCCAACTCTGCTTTGACGAGGCATTTCTCCCCAAGTTGTTCTGGAGGGTCTTCCAATTTGAGGGGCTCATCTTCCAGCACTTTTTTTTTTTGACAATAATCTGCTGCATTCGTCATGTTTTCATTTTCTGGCACGCTATCTGACAATATACCGCTGTCACACGTTCTCAGTGGCTAACCATTCAGAAGTGGTCTGCCTCTTCTTCCTAGTAGTCTGTCTTAGTCTGGAAGCTCAGCTGAAATCTGTCCACCATGGATGACCTTGCTGATATTTAAAATACTGGTGGCACAGCTTCCAGAATCTCAGCAACACGCGAGTCACCACAGTACGACAAACTGACAGACGTGTGGTGGAAGAAAGTGGATAATACCAACTGAAGCAACTCCTGTATACTATAGTTGTTTGTTTCAGTAACTTCTTGGTTTTGCCCATTCCCCTCCCTGACCACTTTCTGGGTGACCCCTGGTGGTAGGGTTACTTCCTGTTTTGACGCCATTTTTTCCTTTCCTTGACACTAACAGTTGTGGGTTTGGACCAGATCTGGGTTGGTTCAATACTAAAATCTGCTCCTACATTTCCTCCTGCCATTGCAGCTGCAACGTTGTAGCAACCAAGGAATTGTGTGTCTCCCCTTTATGACTGCTCCCACTTCTCATGAGTAACTTTTGCCCTGTGTAATTGATGGCAAAATAACAGCTGCATCTTTCTATGGGAGTTATTTATCCCAAGCAGAAAGAAAAGGGTTACTTGTCTGAAGTTGATTCTGACTCATCGGGACCCTACCCTAGCACAGGGTAGCATAGCCCACTAGTATGTCTGAGGCTAGTATCTTTTTGGGAGCAGACTGCACGTCTTTCTCCTGTGGATCAGCAGTGGGTTCGAACCGCTGACCTTTTAGTTAGCAGCTGAGCACTTTGACCACGGCACCACCAGGGCTCTTAAAGGTTTCCCATTCTCCCGTTTATCTCCTTTATACCCAAACCCCATATTCCAATGAGTCTGGAAAAATGCAGAGAATCCCACCAACCTGACACCAACTTGGGGGGGAAGGGAGAGAGCAGGGACTGACATGGTGGAGGCATCTGACCTCCTCTGACTTCACAAGGTGGGAAGAGAGAACGACCATCCGAATTAGCCCAAGGCTCACTCGGAAGAGGCAGAGGTCAGACATTCCTTTCTCCAGCCTTTTCACTATTTCAGATACCAGCTATCTCTCCCCCGGCACTCTACTTCTCTGCAATGGCTGCAAAAAACACAGAGATGCTACATTGTGGGGTTTACTAGGCAAGAGACAGGGTACAGTTCCTTTGGATACAGTTGTCTTTAGTCAGGTTACAGTAGATACAGTTCTTCAGCCAGGGTATAGTTCTTTTCAGTTAGGATAACTCCTCACAGCCTTGCCACATGCATGGATGGCTCTCCCTGGCTCTCAATCTCTCTGCCCCTTGGGACTCTCAGGCTGTCCCAGCCTCTGTCCTTCTCAGGCAAGTGTTTGTTGTGTTGTTGTGAAGTGCCGTCGAGTCAGTTCTGACCCATAGCAACCCTGTATAGGGTTTCTGAGGAGCAGCTGGTGAGCTTGAACCACCGACCTTGAAGTTCAAACAGGTTTGCAGTGTGGCGCATTAACCCAAGTTCTTTATCTCTACAAATAAGTGCCCCCCACTCCACCAAAGGTGCTCAGCTCTGTAGTTCCGTGGGTTGGCAAGCCTAGAGCCCCCAAATGCTTGGATGCACTCCACCCACCAGCAAGCCTACTGCCTGAGAGTGCTCAGCTTTCTTGCTCTGTGGACCAGGAAGCCCAGTGTATGGCCTCTAGTCAGTCTCCTGGTTCTGCTACCTCTGCTGGTACCAGTTCTTTGCCAATGCTTCTTGCTGCCTCTCGCCATCTCTGTCTCCTAGGTCTAGGAGGTTCTTAGCACAGAGACCCCAGGTCCCAAGTACTCACCCCATTTCTAGCTCTTCTCTCTTGGTGACAAACAGGCTCCTATTTCCCACCACTGGAAGGATTCCTTTTAAGTCTATTTAGATGGCAAAACTGTTAAGGTTCCAGACACCTTATTTGCTTCTTTCCCACCCAAGCATTGTGTTCTTGTTGTTAAGTAAGTGCCATTGAGTCGATTCCAACCCAAAGTGACCCTGTATAGGGTTTCCGAGGAGCGGCTGGTGAGCTTGAACCGCTGACCTTGCAGATCAAACCGACTTTGCAGTCCAGTGCATTAACTCACAGTGCCACACCAGGACTCTAATCATTGTGTTGTTGTTGTTGTTAAGTGCTGTCGAGTTGATTCCGACCCATAGCGACCCTGTCTAGAGTTTCCTGGTGAGCTTGAACTGCCGACCTTGCAGTTCAAATGGTTTGCAGTCTGGCGCATTAGCCCACAGCGCCACACCAGGACTCCTATCATTGTGTAGGAGCCACAAACCTTTGGCTAGAAGAGCCACGTTAGGTCATTGATAACACTGCGACCTGGTAGCTTTTCTTTGTAGCATTTGTACTATTAACCAGTTCCTGTGAGGCAAATCCCACTCATGGTGACCCCATCTGTGTCAAAATACAACTGTGCTCCATAGAGGTCTCATTAGCTGATTTTCTTGAAGCAGATCACCAAGCCTTTCTTCTGACGCACCTCTGGTTCTAGTCAAACCTCCAGCCTTTTGGTTAGCATCAAGTGCATCAACTGTTTTCACCACTCAGGGATTCCTTATTTCAGTTCATGTGTATGTATATCTTTTGTTAAATGCCTATCTCCCTCATTAGACTATAAGCATATAGTCTCTGGTTCACAAATACAAAGAGAACATTTAATTCAGTTCCTGAAACACAACAATCCTTAAGTTAAAAGAAGGAATGAAGGAATGAGTAGACCGAATACTCAATTAGCATGCAAATGGTACTGAAGAAGGAGGGACCAGTCACTGGAGAAGGTAAATTGGAGGGTCAGAGGAAAAGAGGAAGACCCCCAGCGAGATGGGTTGGCCAAGTGGCAGCATCAATGGACTGAAGCTTAACAACGATTGTGAGGCTGGCGCAGCACTGGGCAGTGTTTCCGTTCTGCTGTATAAAAGGTCAGTATGACTAGGAACCAACTGGATAGAACCTCGCAACAACAAAAACAATCTGTGCATTACTCTTACTTTTAATGTCAAGTCATGGTTTCATTGCAGAAATGTAAAAAACTGAAGATTCATTTATATAACCACCTATAGTGAGAACATTCTTTTAACCAATACATTGCAGAATTGAGTTAGTGACTGAAGGGTCGGTCCATTGAACCCTATTGGTTGGGGAAGACCTTCTTCAGACTTTTCTTCTGGATATTCAGAAATCCAGTAAATGCCCAATAGTAGTCGGCAGTGTGAGTCCCGGTGGGGCAACGGTTAGGCGCGGAGGTGCTAACAGCAAGGGTGAGGCTCGAAATGCACCCAGCGGCGGTTCTGCGGAAGAAAGACCTGGTGAGTTGCTTCCAATAATGAAAGCCGAGAGATAAAGCTCTATGGAACGTTTCGCTCTGTCCTTACAGGGTCTCTTAGAAATCGGAACTGACTCGATGGCCAGGTGTATGGTGTTTTAGGTGGTATAAACCGTGGTGTATGCATCCTAAAAAAACTGTGGTATGGCATACTTAGAAAATGAAAACAGAACTCTGACCTCCCAAAAGTTTTGTCAGACCCCGGGTACACCAGACCCTCCAGTCTCCGCCCGGCCTGGGAGCCCCTCCTGCTCTGGACGAGGAGTAGGCACCCTAGGCACCGAATCTGGTGTTCCCTGGGCATACCTGGGCCTCCACATCCAGGAACGAGACGCCGCAGGTCGCCCAGAGTCAGAATCGCGCGTGTTAAATGCGGACGTCTCGGGAGCGACGATGGGAAGAAACCCGGAGAACTCAATGGAGCCTCACGTCACTCAGTTTGTCCAATCAGAAGCGCCAAGGAAACTATCCAATCAAGGGAGACGGAGACAGGACCACGTTTCCCCACACCCGCTGATACGTCATTGCTCCGCGCGGTCGCGGCGCGAACGTTTAGTGCTTGTGCCGCTGGTGTACTGGGTCCGGTCCCCGCGGAAAGACGCCGGGAGGTGTCCAGAGGCTGGGAGATGGTGAGCATGGGACAGGGTCTCCCGAGACGCAGGCGAGGGGAGGGCCTGATTCGAATTAGCTGCAATCAGTCGTACGCGCGGCCTCAGGTCCCTACCCTCCACTCCAGAGTCCCTGAAGCAGAGTCCTCGCACAGGCGGCGTGGCCCTTAGTCCCTCTGGCTCGCTGACTGGGGCGCACCTGCCGCCGGTACTCTGGGCGTTCTATCCCCCGGGAGCCCCGCGTGTCGTGGGTGTAGGGTCCGACTCGGTCTGCAGAGTCCGGGCTGGGAGGACCTCTGACGCCCCTCTGCAGCGCCTGGTGGGGTGATTTCTGCAAGACGGGCAGTGGTGTCCCAGGGAACCCGGTTTCCTTGGAAACTTCCTGACCCTGTTCCCCTTTCTAGCTCTTTCTAGGATTGACTAGAAAGATCCTTCCTCTCTGAGTCAGAACACTTGTGACCATTCTGTAAAACTTTATTCATTGTGTTTCTAGACTTAATTTGTTGTTGTGAGGTGCTGTCAAGTGGGCTGTAAATCTTTACGGGAGCAGAAAGCCTCATCTTTCTCTCGCGAAGCGACCTAGTAGTTTCGAACTGCTGACCATGAGATTAGCAGCCGTACTCCTAACCACTACGCCACCAGAACTCTTTTCACTCTGAGGTGGGGTTAGGGGTTCAATCTCCTGATAAAGACTTTGTGGAGATTTTCTTCCTCAGTCTCAGTTTTCAGTCCTTGGAGACAAGTTAGTCTTCAGCTGACAGGAAGTTGTAAATTAAGGGAAAGAATGAAAATGTTTCCCACCCCCTGGGTTATCACAAAGATATGATGGGAGAAAAACTAACCCAAAGGAAATGTAAACATCATCATTCTGCAAGGTCGGTGGTTCAAACTCAGTCGCTCCTCGGAAACCCTATATAGGTAGGTTATTCGGACATGTCAGGAGGGACCAGTCACTGGAGAAGGATATCATGTTTGGTAAGGTGGAGGATCAGAGAAAAAGAGGAAGACCCCCAATGAGATGGATTGGCACAGTGGCATCATCGATGGACTCAAGTGTGGCCACAATAGTGAGGTTGGCCCAGGATAGGGCAGTGTTTCGTTCTGCTGTGCATAAGGTCGCTATGAGTCGGCACCGACTCGATGGCACCTAACAACAACAACGAGTCGGAATCGACTCAACGGCACTTAACAACAATAATAAGTTTATCAATACCCACAAAATATCTTGCTGGGATTTGGGGCTGGGATTGTGTTGAATTTATCAATCAAATTGGGAAGAATGACAATTTAGTAGTAGCCAGCTGGTCCATGAGCATGGACTATACGAATCTCCATTGTCACAGAGACTAAGCTATTGAATTTAAAAGAATGTATTCAGTGGAAGAAAAATTATGACAGCTGCATGTAGGAAGACACCAGTTTACACAAGTGAGAGCTGATCACTTCAGCTGAAATTTTCTCACACAGCTTGATACCAGTTATGAAACAATGATAATACGGTGTTTGGTTAAGTTTCTGTTGTATTTACAAGTAGGATGGGTTATTGGATGAGTTACTGCAATTGACTTCAGGAATTAGTTACAGGGGGTCACAATCATAGCTTTATAACTTTCAGGTGGAAGATTGCTGGGCAACGTTTGCACAGCTGTAGCCAGATGTTTCAAGAATGTGCAGATTCATCTTGGTACTAGAACGAGCCTGAAACGGCTTATTAATGTGGTAATCAAAATCTTTAAATGGTCTGGGGAAATTCAGATAAGTATAGCTTCAAGACCCTTTTCGTTAAATCCCTTAATACATGTTTGTCCTAAAGAAATGTTCCCCTGGCCCAGTTTTTGCAAAAAATAGCAGTGGCAACATTCAAAAAGTTTGTGAAAAAGTGGAATTAGAAAATAAGACCCCCTTATTTTCTTCATGGAGCTCTGGTAGCGTAGTGGTTCCGAATCGGGCTGCGAACCTTAAGGTCAGCGGTTCGAAACTACCAGTTGCTCCGCGGGAGAAAGATGAGGCTTTCTACTCCCGTAAAGATTTACACCCTCGGAAACCCTGTACAGGGTCGCTATGGGTCGGAACCGACTCGACGGCACTTAACAACAACAACAATTTTCTTCATGTCTTGACTTAACCAAAGAGGGAAATTGCTCTTCAGTTTTATGACTCCTAGCAATTAGCAGTTCAAATCCACCCTCCACTGAGGGAGAAAGACCGAGGCTTTTTCCAGGGTCACTGTGCTTCACAACTGATTGAAAGGCACTCAGGGGCAGCAACATATAACACACCAAGATCCAGGAGCTAGACATGGGGACAAGCAGGATTCCCAGGCAAGTGCATTAGAAGAAAAATGAAAGCAAGAAGGCGAATTCAGCAAGAACTGCGTTAAATTTAATCATGCTTTGTGGAGGATGTGGAGAGATAGAGCAGCTGGGGACTCGAGACTCATGGACAGAGAAAGGCTGTGTGCTTGCGGCCAGGAATGTGCCCTTTGGTTGTTTAAATGGTTATATATTCCCGAGGGTTTTTGTGTACATCCCTGCCCCCTAAAAAAACAAATGAACCGAGGGAATAGAAGCAAATGCTGTTGAATGATGATGCACGGAGGAGATTGTAATCATTGCAACGAAACAGTGAGTGTAAAACCGGTGTTTTCCCATGTAAACTTTTATCACTCAATTCACAATAAAAACTAAAAAACAAAAAGCTACGTGGAGAAAAGGGAAAAGAAGGCCTTGTGAGTTTATCTCTTACATCATTTATTTAGATCTTTCATCAGGGTTTTATGATTTTCCTTTTATCAGTCTCATAGTCTTTTTCTTTTTATTTTTTTTTAATATGTGTATTAAGTGTAGGTTAACAGAACAAATCATCACTTTTACACTCAACACATCATACGCTTCGTTTCGTCCTGACTGCAATCACCTGCTGTCACATCACAGACCCCGCTTCCTCCCTGTGGTTCCATCTCCATTCAGCCTCCTTTCCCCCCACCTTCTGGATTATGTCTTACGGGAAATGTTGCCCTTTTGATCTCGAGTGGTTGATCATTTGATGGCGTCCACGCCTGGCTGGTGTCAGGGCCCCCTGTACACCTACCTGTCTGTTGCTTGGCTGAGTGGTTAAAGCCCCTCTGCTGGAGATGGTGTGGCCATTCATTGCCACAGAGAAGTACAGCTTTGGTACCCTTGGGCAGTTCTGCTCTGTCCTCTAGGGCCACTGTCATGCTTAGTTGCCTGGATGAAAAGTGGGGTTGGTTTTTTGGAGGGTGTTTCTAGTATGAGTGGTGGGGAGCCCTGGGTGGTCCTGTGGGTTAATGCGCTGGATTGCAAAGTTGGTTTGAACTGCAAGGTTGGTGGTTCAAGCTCACCAGCCGCTCCTTGGAAAGCCTATACAGGGTCGCTAGGAGTTGGAACCGACTCGACAGCACTTAACAACAACAAATATGAGTGGTGGAGTCCTGTCATAGCGCTGTAGGATAAGCACTGGATTGCTAACCAAAAGGTTGCCAATTCAAACTCAGCAGCTCCTCATTGGAAACCCTGTACAGGGAGGGTCACTATGTGTCAGAATCGACTTGACGACACTTAACAGTAGCAGCAGCAGTGTGAGAGGTGATGTGGCCCGGTAGGATAAACTCTGGATGGCTGACCACAAGGTCAATGGTTCAAAGCCATCAGCCGCTCTTCGGAAACCCCATACAGGGTCTCTATGAGTTAGAACCAACTCAACAGCACTTAACAAAGTATGAGTGCTTAGAGGAGGCGTCCTTGGCATCTTGTTGCTGATATTAGGGAGAAAGCATCTAATTCCTCACAACTAAGTCTGATGTTAGCTGTAGGTTTTTATCGTTTCTATCAGGAGTCCTAGCGTGGCACTGTAGGATCGGCACTGGACTGTAAGGTCAGTTTGGGTCTCTGTAAGGAGCTCTGGTAGCGTAGTGGTTATGTATTGGGCTGCAAACCTCACGGTCAGCAGTTCAAAACTACCAGCTGTACCGCTAGAGAAAGATGAGGCTTTCTGCTCTCGTAAAGATTTACAGCCTCGGAAACCTTGTATAGGTTTGCTATGAGTCGGCACCAACTCCACGGCACGTAACAACAACAACGACGACGACAAGGTCAATTTGGATCTCAAACTCACCAGTCACTCCTCAGAAACCCTAGACGGGGTCTGTATGAGTCGGAACCGACTGGACAACACGTCACAACAACAACGTCAGGTTGAAGAAATGTGCCTCAGTGCAAGTTAAGTGTTTTCATTACAAATGGTGTTTGATTTTGTTAGCTTTCCTGTGCCTCTTAATGTGATCATGTGATCTTTTCAGCTAGTTGATGTAATAAAAAAATATCACACAGTTTTGTGGCTGTTGGACCAGCCTTGCATACCTGCAGTACAGCCCATCTGGTCACTATGTATGATTCCTTCTGTGAATTTTTGGGTTTGGCTCATTAATGTTTCTTAAAGCTATCTAGGTCTATGTTCCTGAGAGAAAATTGATGAGTGATTTTTCCCTGCAAATGCCTGTCTGGTTTTATGTCCGGGTGATGCTCTCAGGATAAGAGCTAGGAAGTGTTCCTGCCTGTTCTCCTTTTAGGGATAGCATTGAAAGGACTGGTGTTCATTCGTTCTTAAATTCAGTGCACGTTGCCTTTCTCTGTGTAGATGTGAGTTTCTGGCTGCTTCTGTCATTTGCCTTCTCTCTGAAGATCTACTTCTTGCGTTTCTCATCAGGCAGGGTTAACCACCAGCTACCGTCAGGTTGATTCAAACTCTTGAAAGCCACGTATGTGTCAGGATAGACCTGTGGACTCCTGCAGAGAAGACTGGGCTTCTGGTGTGGCGCTGTAGGCTCAGCACTGTACTGCGAACCACAGTGTCAGCAGTTCAAACCTACCGGCCTCTGATGGAAAACCGTACACAGGGTCAGTATGAGTCAGAACCAACTCGATGGCACTTAACAACAAGATAGAAGACTAAAAGGGGGCCCTGAAGGTGGGTGATTGTTGTTGCTAAGAGCCGTTGAGTTGGTTCTGACTCTTAGCTACCCTGCCTAGTATGTCCGAGGCTGTAAATCTTTATGCCACCCAGTACAGAACCCACTGCACCCCCAGGCTCCAAATCACTTAGGCACTGCTCACATTGTTTTAGTTGAGGACAGGCTATTGGGAAAGAGGACAGAACACTTTTTAATGGTTCTTGTTAGATGGCGTGGAGGTAGTGTGTGACACCGCCCCCTCCCCCGACCTCACCAGAGAGGATCAAACCCAACAAAAGCCCAAGGCTGACAGGTTAGGGCTGGGTCAGGCACGCCTCCACTGCCCAGCCTTCTTCATTCATTGTGACATCAACGGCCCTGCCCTGGGCTCTGTCTCCTTCTCTGCTGGGCTCACTAATTCACTGTGATGGCCACACAGAAGTCAGGATTGTGGGGATTACTACTAAGGGACTGATTAGAGTTCTAATAAGAACATTCGGATACAGGTCTTTGGTCAGGTCGGCCTCCTCTCAGCTGTGGCTGGCCAGCATCCCAGACCCTTGCCCTGTGGCCTACTTGGGCAGCTGTAGCTCTGCTAGTTGCGTGCCTGCTCTGTTGGCCTGGATGCACCCAGCTTTGTAGCTCTGTGGGCCCGCTCGTCCACCACTTTGTCTTGTGCCCTTGGTTCTGCTCCTTCAGCTGCCCCTGCTTCTGTACCATCTCTCACGGTCTCCGGGTCACAGCGCTCCGTGCAGGCATCTCCGAGTCCTGGCTCTGCTTTCTTCACACTAGTGAGACCTGCTTTCCACTTCTGAGACAGCTCATTTTAAATCGAGGACTGGCAAAGTGACCATTCCCCACTTACATCCTGTTTTCAGTTGCCCACCGATCCTGTTTGTCAGTGGGCACAATTCTCACGTGGTGTATGGCTTCTCTGTGTGTGTCTGTGTTTACTCTGATCTCTTTAGGGCACAGGAGTGAATAACTATGCAGAATACACTCGGTTGACCTCAAGTGACCGATTGCAGTTTCCTAGACTGCGCTGTGGACGCCACTTAACCACGTGCTGGCAGCAGCCAGACGAGTGCTTGGTCATGGGAGAGGATTGAAAATACCCTGACTTGGGTCAAAGATGAGCCCTCCCTCCCCCGCCCCCAGTCATTAAAGTAACATTTTTGCTTTTTAAGATTTTAAAGAGATCTTTTGTAGCAAATTTGTCCAAAGCAATATATCATTTGAATTCTTGACAGCTGCTTCCCTGGGTGTTGATCGAGGATCCAAATAAAAGGAAATTCTTGACAATATCAGTATTTTCTCCTTGGTCTACTTGAGGTGTTTTTTTGATTTGATGTTGTCAAGTGCAGTGGTGTCGGTTTCAACTCATCAGGACCCTGTATAGGATTTCCGAGGCTTTCAAACACTTGTGGGAGCAGACAGCCTCGTATTTCTCCCACAGAGTGGCTGGTGGGCTTGAACCACGGACCTAGTGGTTCACAGTCCAGTACTTATCCCACAGAGCCATTGTACTTCCCTGGTTTTGGTTCCGTTAATGTAGACTGAAGTCTTGTTCTTCATCAGTAAGTGCTTCAAGTGCTCTTCTGTTTCAGAAAGCAGGGTGTGTCATCTGCAGAGGGAGGTGGTTAAGTCACATTACCACCCTGATGCCACATTCTTCATATAGTCCACCTTCTTGGATTATTTGTTTAGCAATATAGATTGAACCCATTTGGTGAAAAGATACAAACCTGTAGAACATCTTTTCAGATTGAACCACAAAAGCAACTTGTGTCTCTCACAGCAGACAGCTGCTTGGCCTGCAGCCATCCAGGTGCTGAAGGTGTGTGGGCCACTCTCTTCCTTCACCCTTCATGCCACTTTCTAGAAGCCAGTTCCACTGCAGTGCAATCACTTCCTGTTCGGGGGCCTTTCGGGAGCACAGTGGCTCTGTAAGATAAACACAGGATTGCGAACCACGAGATTGATGGTCTGAGCCCACCAGCTGCTCTGTGGGGAAAAGAGGCTTTCTACTCTGGTAAAGATTTACAAACTTGCAAACCTTATTCCCAATAGCTAGCTGTATAATGGAACTGACACCAAACAGCATGTGGGCTTTTCCCTTGGTTCTTTGGGAAACAGCTGGGGAGATTTTCCCCTTTGAGCCTTGGGGAGTCACCCTTGTCCTAGTTTTCTATCCCAGAGGGTTTGTTATGTTTCCTGGGAAAGCTGTAAACAATTTTGGCTTCATGATTTTTGTCTGGCCCTGGGCTTCAGCCTGCCTTGTGATTGCTGGACATTGCAGGGATTGGTCAGTACATTGTGCACATGAAATGACTATAAAGCCAAAACCCCATGCCCATTGCCACTGAGTCTGTTGTGACTCAGGACACAGTAGAACAGGGCTTCCAAGACTGCAGGCTTTATGGAAACAGACGGCCACGTCTTTTTCCCACAAAGGGGCTAGTGGGTTTAGACCACCAACCTTTGTGTGTGTGTGTCTGCTTTTAGGTTTTATTTAGCACAAATGAAACTTGAGGACAGGCTGCCTATTCATTTTCTTGGCTGGGCAGCCTGGCATTGGGATGAGTGGCTGGGGGCTGGCCGGGCTGCTTTCTCTGTGAGGGCTTTGCAGTTCTCGGAGACGTGAGTGGTCTCTGCGCTGCTCTCTCCATGAGGGCTCTGCTGTTCTCCAAGGAGACGTCGTGCACGTTCTCTGTGCTGCACTCTCGGTGAAGGCTCTGGGGTTTTCAGAGGAGATGTCATGCACGGTCCTCTGCGCAGTCAGATCTGTTGCAGAGCCGCAGCACCTCCAGCTCTCTGACGCTGTGGACCAGGAACTTGCGGAAGCCACTGGGCAGCATGTGTTTTATCTTGTTGCTCCCGTCACCAGTGTTGGGCATTAAGATCTGGCCCTTAAATCTCCGTTCCGTATTGTCAGTGTCTCTGGACTTGCTCCAGTCATGCTTGATTTTGACATAACGGTATGAATGATGTGGGATGAACTTCTTGTCCTCTTGGCTTTACCAGAGAGACGTCTGAGGGCAGCCGTGATGCCGGTTGAGATGGCTGCCCGCTCCGTACGCAGCACAGAAGAAGAGGTTTGCATCAGGGCTCGAGGTGACTGTGAAATGTGCAGATGCAGTGATCGTGGACTATAAATGAAATGCTTGTCCTTCTGACAGGGAATTGGTCAGTGTGTGGGCCTGGTGCGAAGGCCATGCCTTGAAATTGATCAAAAGTTTCCTTACATATAGAGCCAAATCCACGGAGGTGTGAAGCAGAGGAGTGAAGAGAGAGGCAGCAGAGAGAGCGGAGGCCAGGAGTCTCCTAAGAACAGTCTGGCCGCGGGTCAAGGGCTGAGACCTGGCTGGGAGGGTGTGTGGCAGTTTTGGTTGTCTGTCCTGAGCTGCTGAGCCGGGACTGCCCTCACTGAGCTGAGGGGAGCTGAGAGCACTGTCTTGCACTGAAGAAGGGAAACTTTGTCTCCATGCTTCCTAATCCTGCGCCTGATTTTCTGTTGTACCTGTGAATTCCTTAATACATCCTGAGCTGTAACTAAAGTCTGTGAGTTCTGATTGTCAGATTGTGTCATGGGCAGCTGAGAAGTAGAGCATGCCATTGGGGAGGTGGGGGATGACTGCAGTCAGAACTGGCAGAAAGGTTGGAGGATGGGAGCATGTGTGACCTTCACTTCACTCACTCCATTTTGGCCTGATGGTATTTTCCATTGTTAAGTGCTGTTGAGTCAGTTCACCTCATAGCGACCTGTATAAAGTTTCTAAGGGGCAGCTGGGGAGTTTGAGCCCCGAGCCTTACCTTGCGGTTCAAACTGACCTTAAGGTCCAGGGCTTATCCTCCAGCTCCGCCCCAGGAGTCCCTTCCTGAATAAGCTCCAGGTGCAGCAGTTCCCACCTCTTGGCTCCTACCCACTTTCACACCAACTTGGCACCAACAACCACGTGTCCTGGAAACCAACTGCAGGGTCAGTGACTCACTGGGACTCTCTAAGGGTCATTCTTAGGAAGCAGAAGCAGCTTAGAGAAAGTACGCATGAGGGAACAGCCATAGCAGAGTCAGCACACTCTTTTCTTTTTATATATACAAGGGGAAAACTAGAATTTTCCCATAAACTTTGGAAGCCCCCTCATATATAAACCCTAGGATGTGTCATTTTTACTGAATTTAAGTATACAGTTGAGCCTGCGTCAGTCTTTCAGGTTCTGTTCACGTTAGAATCCTGCAGGGATTTATGATAACAGATGTGAACTGTCCCAACAAAGCAGCTTATCAGAGACACACTTGCCAAGATTCTCTATGACAATGAGTATGTAAACACGTTCTGTCTAGGATGTACCAAAGTTCCAGATTCACTCTAGGGAAAGCAGGGATTCAGAAGAAACCATCTTGCTTGTATAGACAGTGTTTAGGCAGTGAGCCTCTGTGTGTGTGTGTGTGTGTGTGTGTAGGTCTGTATGGGAGCGAGAAAGATTTTGGTGAATGAGATTTAGATTTTAGAGGAAATTGGTTCCTTCCAGCAACTTGTGCACGTGTTCTTTGACCTTGACCGCAGTCCCCACAGTGTAACAGCATGCTCCCCACTCCCTTTATACAACATTTTCATTCCTCCTCCGTTCATTTCCCACTGAGCTTTATCCAGAGGCACATGCCGCCCTTTTTAATCTTGCTTGTATGATTGGTTGTTTTAATGAGCATGAATTGTTCACCTTGTAAGATTGTTATTTAGCTGAGAGTTGAAGCATTCAGATGAATTGAGTTCCAGACCTGAAGGTTGTCTAAAGCCCATATTCTTAGGGAGTCCACCAGTCTGTATCAGACCAGTAAGTCTGGTCTGCAGTGAACCACTCTTACTAGGCAGGGTGGTTAGGGCCATCCTGAAACCCGAATTCTCACACTTCCTGGGGCAACACTAACAGCAGACCTTTATAAACCTAGCAGTCCTGTGTCTTCCGTTGGCTCCTCGGCACACTAGATGATGAAACTTGGTTAGTAGAATGTATAGGACCACTGTACCATCAGCAATCAAAGCTCATAAGTCACTCTGTCAGTTTGTGGTACTGTGGTGGCTTGTGTGTCACTGTGATGCTGGACGCTGTACCACCAACATTTTAAATACCAGCAGGGTCACCCATGGTATTTCAGCACAGCTTCCCAGACTAAGACAGTCTAGAAAGGAGGGGCAGACCACTCCTGAATGGTTAGCCACTGAAAGCCTTATGAATAGCAGTGGGAATTTGTTAGATCCAGTGCTATAAGGTGAGACACTCAGGTTGAAAGACATTTCAAAATGGACCGGGAACCAGCTGGCTCCTTAGAACAGAGTTGACCTAAATGACTTTGAATGAAGCAAAGGTTTGGGGACCTTCATTTGCTGATGATGCACAACTCAAAATGAGAAAAAACAGCTGTAAATATCGACTAATTGTAACATGGAATGCAAGAAGTATGAATCTAGAAAATGAGAAGTTACCAAAACTGAAATCTATTGATCGATATCCTAGGTGGTGGTGTTGTTAGTAAGTACCATTGACTAGTTTCCAGTGCACAGTGATGCTGTGTACGGTTTCTGAGAAGTGGCTGCTGGGTTTGAGCTGCCGACCTTGTGGTTAACAGTCCAGTGCTTATCCTACAGTGCCACACCAGGACGCCATCCTGGGCACTAGTGGGCTGAAATGAATTGATACTACCCCATTTTGAGTTGGTCAACCACATGGTTTACTATGCCAGGAACAACACACTGATGAGAAATGGTGTCACACTCATCAGCAAAAAGAACATTTCAAAGTCTGTCTTGAAGTACAATGCTGCTTGTGTTAGGATAATATTTATATGCATACATGGAATATAAATACCACTATTATTCAAGTCTACGTACCAATCACTAAAGCCAGTGAGGATGAAACTGAAGAATTCTACAGTTCATCTTCTTCAGTCACAAACTGATCAAACATGCAGTCAAGATGCACTGATAATGACTAGTGATTGGGAATGAATGTTAGAAACAAAGTGGAATGGCCTGTCACTGGAAAGTATGGCTTTGTTAATAGAAATGATGCTGGAGATCATATGATAGAATTTTGCAAAACCAATGGCATTCATTGCAAATACTGTTTTTCAACATCATAAACTGATTACATATGTGGACCACACCAGATGCATACATGGGAGTCAGATTGCCTCCATCTGTGGGAAGAAATGATGGAGAAGATCAGTAACAGCAGCCAAACAAGGCCAGGAGCCGAACCGTGAAGCAGACCTTCAGTTGCTCATGTGCAAGTTCAAGCTGAAGCAAAGAAATCCATGAGAACCAAAATAGGACCTTGAGACTGTTCCACCTAATTTAGAGACCATTTCAAGAACAGGTTTCATGCATTAGACGCTAATGACCAAAGACTAGAGGAGTTGTGGGATGACATCAAGAACATCAAACACGAAGAAAGCAAGAAGTCATTAAAAGAAAGAAAAGATCAGAATGGATGTCAGAAGAGACTGAGACTAACTCAGCGTAGAGAAGCTAAAGCAACTGGAAGACATGATACGGTAAAAGAACAGAATGGAGAATTTCATAGGACAGCTTAAGAAGATAGTCAAGTAACATAATGAAATATGCAAGGACCTGGAGTTTACAAAATCAAAGCATTTCTCAAGCTCAAAGAACAAAAAAAAAAAAAAAAAAAAATTCAAGCCTCGGATTGCAATATTGAAGGATCATATGGTCAAAATATTGAATGATGCAGCAAGCATTAAAAGATGGAAGAAATACAGAGTCGCCGTACCAAAAAGAATTGGTCGATGATCAATAGAAGTCCAAGCTGCACAGAAGGCATTGGTGAAAAGTAAAGCTTAAAGAGTTGACAGAATACAATCTTTCCACAAACTGATGCAGCCCTGGAGGTGCTAACTCATCTATTTTAAGAAATTTGAAAGACAACTACCTGACCAGGCAGTTGAAAGAGATCCATGTTTGTGCTAATTCCAAAGAGAGGTGACCCAACAGAATGGGGAAATCATCTAATAATATCATTAATGTCACACTACATCTAAAGTATGAGAGACGAAGTCTGGCCATCCTGGTCTCCGAGGAACACCCTGGCTGCACTTCTTCCAACACAGATCTGTTGGTTCTTTTGACAGCCTATGGTACTTTCAATATTCTCCTCCAACACCATACCTCATATGCATCGATTCTTCTACGTTCTTCCTTATTCACTGTCCAGCTTTTGCATGCATTTGAGGTTATTGAAAATAACATGGCTTGGGTCAGGTGCACCTTAGTCCTCAAGCTGACATCTCTGCTCGTCAATACTTTAAAAAGTTCCTGTGCAGCAGATTTGCCCAGTGCAATACGTCGTCTGATCTCTTGACTGCTGCTTCCACGAGTGTTGATAGTTGATCCAAGAAGAATGAAGTCTTTGACAACTTCAATCTTTTCTCCATTGTTAAGAATGTTGTTTATTGGTCCAGTGGTGACGATTTTTGTTTTCTTTACATTGAGATGCAATCCATACCGAAGGCTGTGCTCTTTGATCTTCGTCAATAAATATTTTAAGTTTTCACTTCCAGCAAGCAAGGTTGTATCATGTGCACATCGCAATTTGTTAATGAGTCGTCCTCCAACCCAGATGCCACATTTTTCTTCATATAATTCAGCTTCTCAGATTTGCTCAGCATACAAGTTGAATAAGTATGGTGAAAGAATACAACCTTTCACACACCTTACTTAATTTTAAACCATTCAGTGTTCCCATGTTCTGTTCAAACAGTTGCCTCTTGGTCATGTACAGATTCCTCATGAGCACAATTAAGTGTTCCGGAATACTCATACTTCACAATGTTGTCCATAGCTTGTCATGATCCACACAATCGAAAGCCTTTGTGTAGTCAATAAAGCACAGTAAAAGGTGGCCGAACGCATCTTCCTGGTGCTATGACCACTGGCACAGAGCTGCGGGGACAGCAGCCTGGAGTCAGAGCAGGAGTTGTGGTAACTAGTTGGAAAGCTGGGAAGAATGTGCTCAAAGAGAAACCTTGGAAGAAGCAGCTCTTTACTTGAAAAATGTTCACTTTGCCTTGGTTGTGA